CATTTAAAATTACAGGTACATACATAATTAGTAAGGCATAAGAATAAGGGGGATAATAATATGCAAATTCGTAAACATCAACTAGAATTTTTCAAAATTCGGTGTCACAAGTGCATGAGTTACTAAGGAGTACAATAATAATACAACATCTGTCTGGAATGTCAATTAGACAGGATAATGTAAGTAATTCAATGGGGACTCTGTGGGTTGCGATACGTAGCATGGAATGTAGCTCACGATAAAATCTCCTCAGCACCTGCACCTACGCCATGATGACCACCAAATGAACATGTCAGATCCGGCACATTTAGTGCAGAAGTGTAGCATGAGTACGTAAATCAACACGCACCCAATAAAAATCTAGCCTAACCCCGGAGAAGTAGTGATGAGGGGTCGACATCGACACTTACTAGTGGTTGAATAAATCAACATGATAAATCATAAACAAACGTGAAGCACAATAGTAATAATGAGGTAAAATGGTAACTATCATAATCCTCCAACATTTATTGTGACGATATAAAATCTCTCAAATCTCCTGTGCTATCTCAGCGGGTTAGATATATCAAATGCAATCTCAAACAAATAAGGGATACCATATGAATTCCAGGCCTCAAATAAAGGGAAATCTCATGAATATCCGGACTACTAGCGGTATCACGCACGATCATGCCGAGGTCGTACGACCCGATCTAGAGTGGTGTGTACACTGTCGAGGGTTGACCAACGTGAACCAGAGATGTATCTCAATATACTCCGAAGCATTCGGTCCGATCCACAGGAAAGGAAGAAACTTATCGAACTACGAGTCACGTGCATACAACACATGTACAGGAGAATAAAGTAAACATGACTTCTACCGTTTATCAAATATCGCGCCAGACAACTCAAGGCGATAAAGCTCGGCCTAATATACTCCCAAATAATTTCAATTAATTAGGCTAGCAAAATGAATTCAAATAATTCAAATATTACATGATAAAGTCCTAAGTCTATCCGGACATAAATATGCTTTTAGCTACATACGGGCTCTCGTCACCTCATGCATACGTAGCTCCCACAACTAGTAACACATAATAATTTTAATACCTACGGGGTATTTTCCCCCTCACAAAGTTAGACAGGAGATATACCTCGCTCCGAAGTTCCAATAACCGGCTCCAATGCCTCTCTAACTCCTCACTTCAAAGCCAAACGATCCGAAACTAGTCGAACAACGTGCAAACCAATAAAAATATACTCCAACTCTCATAATTAATTAATTTATAACAATTTCCAACTCCGAAAATTCTTGAAGATACTTATTATCCATAACACCACGAACTCAAATATATAATTTATTCCTAATTCCATGTCCAATTTCGTGGTCGAAATCAAAAAATACCAAATTCTAGTTTTCTACCAAAGTCCCACAATTTCCATAACATTTCATGTTTTAAATCCACATATAATCCATCTGTTTAACTCACAATGTGTAGAAACTCTTACCTTAAGATTGATGATGAAAATGGCTCCTCCAAATCGCCCAAGCAAGAGAGAAATGAGTTGAAAATGAGAAAATCCCGACCTTGCAAGCTTATAATCTGCCTAGGCGCCCTTCTTCGCGAATGCGGCAAGTCCTTTGCGTTCGCAAAGCACAACCAGCATCTGCTCCCAAATCCTTCTTTTAGATCGTGAAGACAGGCTCGCGAACATGATGACTTACTAGGCCTGACTATCGTGAACGCGACACCATCCTCTTGGTTATGTGAAAATGGGTTCGGAAGAGTTATCGATGGTTTCTACCATGGTTCGAGGTGTATATTTCCTACTGGCATGAGGAACATATTGCATATTGTGATGTTCTCCTTGACGGGATCAAATGAAAGGTTCTTGGCTAATTGAAATTGTATTCTACTTCTGACTCAGAGTTGATTATGAGATCCTCGTACTTTTCAAATGATGGCATGATTGATACGGTATGTTGTGTGGGATTAAGATTTGCGTGTGCAAGGTCACGGGTCAGTTTTGAAGGGTAAGGTCATGAATTCTTAAGCAGCATAGACGGTTTCAGATGACTAGGTGAATGATATTACTATTTGGTATTGCTTGAAGAGAGTGTACATTTTAAAAGGTGCACTGTGTTTTGACTTACGGACGCTTCATTGATATTAAGGGACTCGCCTGGCTGATCGTTTGCTGATATTCAGATTTTGCTATGTGGCACGGAAGAATTATGAAAGTATTCCTCGTGGGATGATCGTTTGTGAGAGATGTGTTAGTCATTCGGGCGGTGGAGTTGGGATCAGATATGGTGATTCGTGTGTTCTATGAACTTGGAGATTGGGAGTTCTCAGAAGCAGATTGTTTCGTGGTTGTGGACTATGAAGTTGTGTCCAGAGCTAGCCTGATAATATTATATGTTATGATTCAGTCATTGTGGACTTTCAGAGAGTTATTTATCTATTGTGGGTGACCAGAGTTGAATTGGGGTCCATTGATAGGCCCAATAAGGATGTGTAGTCTATACCGGGTCAGATTGGTTGACTCTGTACTGCTACTATTGAGGGATGTGTCATTTGGTTAGAATAGAGCTTATTCGTGTTCTGATATGACCTATGTGTTACCCTTCTATGCTATGAGGGGTTGTGATTCGTTGGTCATATGCACACATGGTACGGTTCTATTGGGGCCTTATAGCGAAATTTGAGCGAGATGGGTATTTGGGTGTTAAATGATTGATTGCGCATTGGTCATGTTCTTTCGGGTTTGTGTGGAATTTTGTCATTTGCTTCTCCGTGGTTATGGTCATGCACTTTGGGTACTTGATGTCGAATTATGCATGGTTATTCATTTTGAGCATGGTGGCTTGAGGTATTTCATATGGACCAATGTTTGGATGGGGTCACGCATTGCAGCGGAGTTATGATGAGATATAATCCTTTGTGTTAGATTCGTGTGTTATGGCTCTACGGTGTGTGAAGGGTTCTTAGAATTGTGTTGTGGTGGTACTTGTTGAGCTTGTGGGACGGTTCTCTCGTTTGAGTCATTTTCCATGTTTGAGTACATTTAAATTGTTGCTTATTGGTGCTCGGATTGAATGGTTGTGACTTTAGGTTGTATTGGTGTGGCATGTCAATAGAATAGTTGTGCTTGATGAGGTAAGGTGATTGAACCTAGAATGGGTGCTATCAGATCTGATCGCAGTATATTTGGAAGGATAATGTTACTAATCAGCTTAGAAATTTGGTTGTAGTTCTTGTCAAAGGAGAGGGAGCTCCGTGACTTTTTGATACGATGAATGGTTATGAGTTCTGCGTTCTTCTTTCATCATCAACAGTGTACGAAGGTTTTAGAACAAGTTTTTTTTATATGAGGTGTATTACTGGTATTGGGTTGTTTTGAGCAACTACTATGATCAAAAATTTTTCTACGAGTATGAGAGCATGTGGCATGTCATGTGATTACATCTTGGGTTATGGTTGTGGCTTGATACAACTTGTTCAGACTTATACAGTGTGTAGATGCGAGGTTCGGATCTTGTAAGAAATTTCGGACATTGGAAATTGGATTATGTGGTTTACGGGCTAAGGTTGAAACAATGATCTTCAGATATGTTGAGTTGTCGCGCTTATATGGAATAGGGTGACGTGGGATCACCCTCGGTTATATGCATGGTAAGGTTACACAGCAGTTTGATGGCTTTGGAACAAGTCTTGGCACGTTTGAGTACGAACATATGTTCAAGTGGGGGAACATGTAACGACCCGACCGGTCGTTTTGAGCATTTGCATTCCGTTCAGCTATTTTAAGTCTTGAGCAATATCTTATGATGTATTATGACTTGTGTGAATCGGTGGTTTTGATTTTTCAGATTATTTGGAATCGATTTGGAAGAATGAACTTCATGATTGGAGCTTTAAGTTGGAAGAGTTGACTAAGTTTTACCTTTTTAGTATTTGACCCTAGAACAGAGTTTTGATGGTTCCGTTAGGTCCGGATGGTGATTTTGGACTCGGTCGTATGCCCGGATTTGCAATTGGATATTTCTATAAGGATTCGGCACTAATTGGCGAAAGTTGGAAACTTGAAGGTTTGAAAAGTTCATAAGTTTGATCAGAAGTTGACTTTGAGGATATCTGATTCGGATTGTGTTTCCGAGAATTTGAAAAGCTCCATTACGTTATTTGGGACTTATGTGCAAAATTTGAGTTCATTCCGGGCTGGTTTGATATGTTTCGGCAAGAGTTTTGGAAGTTGGGTTCAAAGTTCATTTGAGTTCGATTTGAGGGGCGATTCATCGTTTTGATGTTGTTATGTGTTATTTTAGGCCTCTAGTAGGTCCGTGTTATGTTATGGGACTTCTCTACAAGAAAATGTAGCTTTAGCGAGGGGAAATATGGTCGTTAAAAGTCCAATTCCGGTAGTTATAAGTTGATAACGACCGTAAAAAATCCGATCGTCACCGGTCGTTAAAAGTCCCGACACTAAAAGTTAACGACCGGTTTACAATCCGGTCGTTAAACGATCTTTAGCGACGACATAATTTTCGGTCGTTAAACATGCTTTTAGCGACAGAATTTTCCCCTCGCTAATTTGTTATCCGGTCGTTAAAAGTCTTTAATAAAAATAATGTATTAAGTCAATTCAAGTGCTTTTAGCGACCGATATTCCCTTCGTTAATTGTATAATTACTTTTAACAACCAAAAGTCTCTTCGTTAATAGTCACTTATCTTTGATAAAACTGTCGCTAAAGAGTTTTAATGACCACATTTTTCTTCGCTAATATGAAAATATAATAAATATAATGAAAAGTTAAATTATGTGAATAGTAATAATTATTTATATGTTTTCATACACGCTCAACAACATTGGAAAATAAACCAAATACTTGATATCTTGTTAACACAAAGAACTAAAGTATCATATTTACCAGAAACTAATCAAAATTGTAAGAAACCCATCTTACTAAAACAATGAAAAGTAATAATAATGCAAACTCATCCAAGAGACAACTGGAAGCATAAAATGAGATGAGTTAATCATCATTTTTAATAATTCCTAAAAAGAACAAAAGTAAAATTGCAGCATATATATGTACATAAGAAAGTGTCTTTAAACCATCGCTGACGAACCAAAAACCTCTTGTACTTCAACATGCTCTACACTTTCTTCAAGGATAAGTTCTTCGGGCTTCAAGTTTTTGATCTGTTAAAATAATAAATTTATGCCAGTTTAATAACAAAGAATAAACAACTAAAGAAGAAAATGAACACGTTAAAGGGAAAATGAACAAATAACACCTTAAATTATCGAATGCACAAATAGATAACCATATTCACAAGAAGTAAGTTGACTAGCCAAAGAAGTGATAAGTTCAATTAAAATTTGAAGTTTACTGCCCAAGCATCTGGGCGTGAAAGGAAACTGTTTGATCGGGCTGCTTGCGCGTCGGCAACTGTTGCTACGCTTTGATCAATATGATGACTTCATTATATCGTTATCCAGGTCAGTTAATTATCTACCATTAAATGGAGAAGAACACCAGCTTAGGGTGTTCCCATGGACAATTGCTTACAATCCTAGAGAGGGAACTTCTATGGCCAGTGTGGATATCGTTGCCGAACTTATCTCCAGATCTTTTTAGAAAGAGAGCTTTGCTGTCCATCGCAGCTGCTGTTGGTAAACCAATCGCAATCGATAAAGCTACACAATCAAAAATTAGACCTAGCACAGCTTGGGTTAAAGCGATCCTCGTTCTTTTGAACAAGCACCCAAAAAAAGTAACGTTGCAATACTTGGATGAGAATTCTGGAGATTGTTTGTGATAACTTGCCATTATATTGTTCATGTTGCAAACGCCAAGGGCATGATGAAAATACATGCCGTTTGATTGCGACATGGAATCAAGATAATGTTTTGAATGTGGAAACTGAGGACTGTGATGATCAGGCATCTGTTGAAAAATTTTAAGGTGATTTACGACAAATTCTTAATGAAACTAGGAAGTTGCATGGAGATATTGACGCTGCAATAACTGATGGAAACATTGGGCAGCAGCAGGTCGCAAAAACTGGAAATAATAGAAGTCTAGTTAATCCAGTAGGTAATGTTTCAAAGGTGATAAAGGGTCAATCTAAACCTACAGATGATGTTCCTACTACTACAGCCTTGGCAAGGCTTTATAAGGCTGTAAACGATGCTAATTCTAGGCATAATCGAAAAGGTGATACGACTGCCTCAGGAGCTAGAATAAATATACAAGAGGAGGTTTTGAATAAAGAAAACACTGGTAATAATCAACAAACAGTAGCAGGGACAGGACATGTTGAAGAATCTGTAAAAGTTCCAGCTACTGTAGGTTCAAATTTGGAGGTTGTTGTTGCAATGAATGCAACTGTGGATCGAGCTGCATCTAGGGACGTTAATATAGGTAATGTTGCACCTGTTGTATCAGTGGAAAAACCAGCAGGTATTAAGAGGGTGGATCAGACTACTAAGGAAGGAGAAGCTATTGAAGTAGGTGCACTAGTTAAAGCATCCGCTGCTCGTGATAGTACTAGTGCACGAACTGATGGATTGGAAGATGCTAATGTGAATTTACTGGATACGGGGGCAGCTGACACAGTAGCAACAATGTCCCAGCCTGTGCATAAGGGACAAGAACTGGAAGGGCTTGATGTAGAAGAGATGCAAGAATCAGATGTTCAAGCAGTGCATAATTAAAAATCTGAAGAATGGGCAGTGGTTAATCGAGCCACAAGGACTGCTGTCTAACCGAATGAATCCCTCTTAGGCACTAGGACTGCTGTCTCTATCCACATTCAGCTATGTTTCTATCAACAGACATCATGAATACCAGAACGACAATAAATTTAAAAAGGACATTATAAAAAGTAAATGAACAATCCAAAAAATGATACTTCTAAAATGAAATTACAAGACACAAAATCAAGTATGACAAACAAAACTAGAGAAACAGGTTCTTTAGTTCTAGAGCTCAGACAACTTGCACATCAGCACAAGAGATTCCTTCACAGTTAATGGAGTCGTTTGGGGAACAAGAAGGTGATTCGGGTCAGCAACTAATATCTACAGGGAATAACCAACAATAAAGTTCTTTATCTTGGTTTGATGTTTTTTCCGGTTTTTCTAATGTCAAAAATTCAAGTTTAAAAGTACCAGGAGTTGATGCATTACCACATATATTTATTTGTCAAGTTAGTTCAGATACATTAATTTGTTTTGGATTAGTTTGATGTCTGACCATCGCATTGTTCAGGTTCTTCTATGCATCTAGCGCTTGCATTTACCCCAAGTTCATACAACTTGAAACAAATATCAGCTTGAAAGAATCTGATGCATGGCCAGCAGAGGTTTATTTCCTAAAAATACTGTGTTTCCTTACTTTGACATTAAGTAATTCCAAAATAACGATTTTTAACTTTTCTTTGGTTTGGGTATGGCCTCAATATCTCAAGCAAATTCTACAAATAAGGTGCCGGTTTCTAAGGAGCAATTAACTGTTACAAGTGAATTCTTGTGAAATCATAAGATTTGGGCCTATCATGTAGAAGAGGATGAATAAGATGAGATGGAAAACGACAACTCGCACGGCATGTTAGAGTAAAATAGGATTTTCAATGTACTAACCCATTATATGATTCAATCTATTGATCAGTTGAAGATGGTGATGAAGGCTGATCAAACACTATCTTTGCAAGCTGTGTGTATTTACTCTCTAGCTCATCATATTCACTCTCTAGCCCTTCCAAACGTCCTTTTAGTGTTTCATTTTCTTTTACAGTAGCATTCAACTTTTCCTACAATGCAGATTTAGAGGAGTTACCACCTTTCAACTCCATAGAGGTTATCCCACCACCAAATCCAACTACATGACTCTTTTGTTCGGAGCACCTTTCTACAACCTCAATGTTTGTAAGAGACGATTCAGATAGCACCAATTCTTTAATTTTATCCTGTAAAATGAAAAATTATTTAATTAAAATAATACAACACAATAAATAAATAAATATAAATTGAAATTTATCAATAAACATACATATTTCTCACTAGTTTCAGGTTCGACAAGCTTGTTGTTCTACTTACGAATCTCAAAAAAAATAGTTACCACGTCTGGTGGATTACCATCTTTACCACCCTTCACATTACAATAAAGAAGTCAAAGAAATCTTTGTAACAAAGATGAGGTTTCTTAATAGAATTATAAGATTTACTCACCATTTCATAAATGATCTCCCTAATTGGTTTACTACCCGTACGATGAGGCATACTCAACTTAGACCTATTGACCGAGTTTCTTGTACTTGTCTCCTAAATTAACAATATACCGGCAAAATTCTGGTTAGCCACTTAATATAACACAATATTAATAAATAGCTATAAAATCATACCTTAAATTTTTCAGTAAAAAAATGCTCGTTGACAAGCCATTCCCAATCACTCTCGTCTACCCCATCGGCACATCTTTTATTGCATAACAGAATGGCTTAGACTTAATATTCTTGTGCATCGATCCTCTCCAATTGTTCCATAACTTTCTCATATGTTTCAAGACATTATCTCGTTGATCATTTATGTCATCACTGTCAAATTTGTCCTACAATGGTTAATAAGTATCATTAAATATGACACAACAACAACAACAACAACATACCCAGTGTAGTCCCTTAAAAGACAAATGAAAAGAAAAAGACCAACTTTTATGATCGTGTTTATATCATCAGTTTAGAAGCATACCAGCAAATACTGAAACCTGTTTCTCTTTCTCTTTATTGGATCTACTGTTCATTCATTTACAACTTCTACTCTTAGTTCGTACATCATGGTTTAGATGCATAGTAGCATATACTCAAAATTTACAGGAAGCTGCATCAATATTAAAACAGGCTTGTTCCCTAAATGAACGAAGCATGAAGAAAGAAAACATGAAAAGTAATAGCTTAAAATTGCTTGCCATGGTGTTAGAACTGATCATTTGTACCAACTCTAATATAAGAGGAAATAGATTGGTGTACTTCATAGAGAAGAAGACAAGCAATTCACTTGGCCAAAGTTGAAAAGCATTCGAGAAAGTTTTAAATGTACATAATAAAATTATCAAAAAATATGTAGATCATAATTCATATCCCTTTTTTCTTCCTTTCTGCCGAACTTAAATTCAAGTAATGAAATATGGAATTACATTTCTTGTACTTGGTCATGTTAAATACTTTTAGCTTTGTTACGGACGTCTAAAAATCAGTAGAGATATAAAAAGAAGAAGAAACTGAGTTAACATATTGTATTAAAAAGTAGAAATGGAGTAGGCAAATCAAGAAAGTAATGCTTTAAATCTTTACCGTAATAACTTCCTACATGTGTTGTAGTTTATATTCTTTGATGTCTGCCCATGAGTATACACGCAATGGGCACATATTACGATTGCGGACCAATATACCTAAGTATCTCGTAAGTGAGGCATGATGCTGCCCAACAACCCTATTATGGTAGAAAGTGACGTGCAACTTTTCTCCTACTTTGAGTCCTGCAACTTTTTTATACCTATTCGTTCCTCTCACTTTTTTTACCTTTTCCGATTCACATGGCCCTGCGAATTTCAATTTAACTCAAATATAAAAATAGATCTTGTACAATAACAACAAAAAAATCTTATAGCTTGAGATAATAAAATACTTATTTCACTTCTCTGAGTGCCCTGCATCTCTTCTTTTTCATGAAGAAAAAGAGTATCACCTTCAAATGTTTGATCAAGACTAGGAGGCGCAACATTTTCTCCAACTTTGAGCCCTGCAACATTTTTACACCAATTCATTCCTCTAAGTTTTTTTACCTTTTCAGATTCTCAAAGCCCTGCAAATATCAATTTAAGTCAAATATAAAAATAGTTCTTATACAATAACAACTGTCACGATCCAAAATCAACTAAGGATCGTGATGGCGCCGGACACCGTTGTCAGGCAAGCCAACCATAAATACTTAATTAAATTCTCATTTAAATAATTGTGAAAATTCTGATTTTCCTTCAATTTTACTAGTCAAAGGTACTCATTTCAAATTAAATATGAAAGTCAAGAAATCAATACAAAATACCTCATAATCATCCCAGAACCCGGTGTCACAAGTGCATGAGCATTTACTAGGGAATAAAATAAAATACAGTAACTGTCCGGAATACAAGGTGGACAGAAATGAAAATACAGCACAATACTCTGAAGGAGACTCTGCGGGCTGCTGGCCGCCTCGATAAATGCAGCTCACCTAGGTCTCCGTACCAACCATGCCGCTATGCCACTAAGCCGCTAGCCACACCTGAACCTGTGCAACAAAAATAAACAACAAGTGTAGTATGAGTACGAAAACAACGTGTACTCAGTAAGTATCCCGCCTAATCTCGAAGAAGTAGAGACGAGAGGTCGACTTCGACACTTACTAGTGGTCCAATAATGATACAACAGTAATATAACAAGTCGAGGGTTTATATGAACATGAATGTAATTCAATAGAGTGAAGCAAGAAAACATTTCCTTCTTTTATATGAAAATTTCCGATTTCCTTTTTCATCAATTATACATATATTCTCAAGCCGGGAAGAAGCAATATAAACTTCAATAAGGTTCAAGGCAAGCAATACAAGCATGCGTAATTCATGCCGAGGACGTACGGCCCGATCCAACAATATTTAAACTGTGCACTGCCAGAGGGTCGAATGGCGCGAACCATAGATGTATCTATTATCCTGCTCGTGAATCATATGTGCGACGTGGTCAAATATAAGTAAACAATCACCCTGCTCGCGAATCATACATGCGACGCAGGTACACATAAAAACACACGTTTTTAACCGTCAATCAAGACTTCATCAGGGAAGCGATTATTCAAGGAGGTGAAAACTTCTCTTTTACAAGTCAAGAAAATGAATTTTAATCTTTGTAGAAATTCATTTACTCATTTGATGTGATCTAAGCAATTCAAACGGTCAATAAGATTACAAATATTCTAAGTATAACATGCTTTTGGGTCTTAGACTACCCGGACATAAACATAATAGTAGCTACGCACGGACTCTCGTCACCTCGTGCGTATGTAGCCCCCACAAATAGGAGCACATAACCAATTAACTCACCTATGGGGACAATTCCCTCTTACAAGGTTAAAAGGAGACTCACCTTGCTCCGAAGTTCCATAACCGGTATTCCACGCCCTTCCGAGGACTCAAATCGAAGCACAATGCTCAAAAACTAGCCAATAATTATGCAAATCCATTAATATATGCTCAATTACTCATAATAATCGAATTTATAACAATTCCTAACCCCGATCGAAAAGTTGACAAAATCGCCTCGGGCCCACGCGCCCGGAATTCCGAAATTTTTCGAGGATAACGCTTACCCATAACCTTACGAACTCAAATATATAATTTACTCTTAATTTCATATCCATAACCGTGGTCAAAATCTAAGAATACTAATTTTCTAGGTTTCCCCCTCAAACCCCAACTTTCTACCAATTTCTATACTTTAATCCGCAATAAAACCATGTATTTAACTTACAAGAGGTGGGATTAACTTACCTCTTGATTGATGATGAAATCTCTCTCTTCAAAGCCTCAACACTTGTAATAAAGACTCAAATCACAGTTTCACACCTGTCTCCTCCATTACCAAACTCCCTTGAAATGCTTAGAACTCAAAGAAGTAATGTTTCAGCCACTAATAATAATAGTTCAAGATTAAACTTTAAGAAGATTTCAAGATTTCGGGATTGGTCATTAGCACAAAGGACCATTTCTCTAAACAAAGCTGCAGAACAACAGAATGTTGAAGTCTCAGAATCAGATTTCAGATCTGATGCTTCCCAAATCAAGATTGAACTTTAGGATGCACTTCAAGGTAATTGGTTCATTCTGTTCTGTTCAGAATCAGATTTCAGCCCAAAATGTTGAGTGCTCATTGATAGAAGATATATCATTTTAATACTATCAAAAAGTGTCACGACCCCAGTTCACCCTCCATGAACATGTCGTGATGGCACCTAGTTCCTACAACTAGGTAAGCCTAACAATGCGGAAATTCGTATAACTTGCGGAAACATTTAATTAAATTAAGCAAAACTAGAAGAAAATGGTAAGTAAGTGCCACCTGGCATATACAACTCAAAAATAAATCGCGGAAGTCTAAAATCTCAACCCAAAACCCGGAAACTCACGGTAACCACAGGCTAACAGAAACATAGTACGCTGTTCTAACTCCAGAATATCTAGACAACTAAGAGAAAAGGAATAAACTAAGTACTAAAGCTGGAACACAATAGAGACTCCTGGTCTGCGGACGCGGCAGATATACCTCAAAGTCTCCGTGTATCTCCTCGCCTCAAGGATAGTGCGCCTGAGTGGAGGTACCTGGATCTGCACATGAAAAACATGCGCAGGAAGGGCATGAGTACACCACAGCGGTACTCAGTAAGTGCCAAGCCTAACCTCGGTTGGGTAGTGACGAGGAAGGTCAGGGCCCTACTGAGGCTAAAAGATAATAATAAATTAACAGTATGAAAAATAAGCAGTAATAGTGAGTACAGCAGTGAGATAAGATAGGTTAAACAAGGCAATAGCAAATACACAAAGAACGGAACATCCACATGTGACGACCCGGCCCGTCGTCACGTGAGTTACCGCCCTGTTTCCCCCATTTTTCTGCTTCCTTATGTTTTATTATAAGAGTCTTGAGTGAATGAGTCGATTTGGATTGGTTTCGGATGGAAATGAGACATATAGTCTCTTTAAGGAAGGTTTGTATTGGAAAAGTTAACCGGATGTTGACTTGTAAGTTAGAAGGCTCGGATATGATTTTCGGTGATTTGGTTAGCTTCGGAGGATGATTTGTGACTTAGGAGTGTGATCGGAATTGATTTTGGAGGTCCGGTGTAGAATTAGGCTTGAATTGGCGAAGTTAGTATTTTGGCGAATCCCGGTTGATAGGTGAGATTTTGATCCGAGGTTCAGAATGGGATTCCGAGAGTTGTTGTAGCTTCGTTAGGTGATTTTGGATGTGTGTGCAAAATTTCAGATCATTCGGAGGTATTTTGGTCGGGTTTTTGATCAAATGCGTAATTCGGAAGTTTTAGAAGAACTTAGGCTTGAATCCGATGTAATTTGATAGTTTGGGTGTTAATTGTGGTGTTTTGACGATTGGAAAAAGTTTGAATGATGTTTTAGGATGGGTTGGCACTTTTAGTTGAGGTCCTGGGGGCCTCGGGGTGATTTCGGATGGCCATCGGGATGAAATTTGGACTTATGAGATTGCTGTGTATCTGGCTTCTGGTATTTCCGCATCTGCGGAAAAGGAATCGAAGATGCGGTTGCGCAGGTGCGGAAGAAGGCTCGCAGGTGCGGGCATTTGGCCTGGATGGAGGATTTCGCTGA